CTATTATGACAGGGAAAAGAAACGGCATATTGAAGGTAGATTACTATGGTGAGTTGTATTAGTTTTAGGAAAAGAACTGTGGTAGGCTAATCACGCAAGAACATCGGTGAAACGCAGCTTAACAGTAGATTTTTATGGGCTCATTAGACTTTGGGTTTGAAAACACTGTGGAGGATGATAATTTTTTACATTTTAATTTGTGTTTATAATAGCACGTGTCTGATTAGGCTGCTAGTTACCTATCAGTATGTATGCATTTCGGTTTCTGGTTGTAGTACTGCCTCGCTCCAAGTATAGTGCGACAATGGTTGTGTGTGTGTATAGGCAGATATGTTGGAATGTAGAGTCAGTAATTGAACAATGGATTTCAAAAGTCAACTTTTACTTGCTCCTTGTTTTTTTGGAGAATGAAACTTTTGCTTGTTCCTTTTGTCAAATATAAGTTTAAATAACAAATCACATCACTTCTGGAGCAATAATTTAGCATCTATCTATTTGTCATGTGTATAAGGGCCTCTGCTGCAAAATCTCTGATTATGCTTGCTCTTTAGTCCACAACTAAACTTTTGTGCTCTTGAAAGGAAAAAACACATGCTGGAAATTGTTTTTGAGGATTTTAGGTTTTGCAAAGAAATAGTGTGGTGTAGTTTTTCCTTTGTCTTCCTTTGATAGGGTAAATGTGCATTTTCAGTAGTATTTAATATCGGTAACACACTGTTAAATGGTCACATTTATTGAAATTATCATCATAGGTTTCGGCTTAGTGTTAGTCACAATCAGTGTTATCAAAGGTGAAAAGCGCAAAAAAGCTCTAAGGTCCGTGGAGGCTTTAAGCGCAAAGCGCAAATAAAGTGAACTTTAATGAAAAAAGGCACTAAGGGAGAAAAAAGTAAAAATGTTTATATTTAGTCCAATACTAATAATTATAAACATGAATGACAAATATATGACCAAACAAATTGAAAAAAATTATGATAAAGTGAAACATCAATTGTTTAGTGTCACTTCTTCGTAAGAGGTTTATTGGCAAGGAAAAGTTTGACTTAGAACCTTGATGACGACACTGAAGCGCGCATAAAGCGAGGTGCATGCTCAACACGTTTTGAGCCTCGCTTCAGGGCTTAAGCGCGCTTTTGATAAGACTGCTCACAATAGTATCTCTATTTAATGGAACAAAACCATTTTGAGGTTTAAATACTCATTTTATGAAATTTAACTTTGTAAAAGGATAGGCCAGACGAGGTGTACATCTTTTAGTTCAAATAACAAACAATTGTATTTACTAATATTTTTCTGACCCTGTATTGATAAGATTCTGTTATGATTATTCAAATAAAGTCAAGGACCAATATATTACTCTTCCCTTTTGTTTCTTTTGTTCAGGAAGCCTTAAGTTTTGTGTACTGATATTTTTGAAGATTGTAAGATCATAGGCTACCACATGATTCTTGCCTTGCCTCTAAGTTCCTCTCATTCTAGTTTGCTGATTAAGCTTGTTACCTATTGTTACAGATATCACCAATGCCTCAACTTCCGTAAAGCAAGGACCTTCAGTAGGAAAAGCAGCTATTGGTGGTCCATTTAGTCTTATTGACCATAATGGAAAACCAGTAACTGAGAAAGACTTCTTTGGCAAGTGGACAGTTGTATATTTTGGTTTCACTCACTGTCCAGATATATGTCCGGATGAGCTACAAAAACTCGCTGCTGCAGTTGATAAAATTAGTAAGCCTTCTCATCATAGTTCTGTGCCTAAAATGGATGAAGTTTTGCATGGTTATTGTGATTGATCATTTCGTCAACCATGTGTTATCTGACATTAGTTTTTCATTCCATTTTTACATTTATCCTTCCTCTTGCCTTTCAAGTTAATGTCTAATTATCCAAGTTTTAATCCAGACTTGATTACCAATTTGTTTGGTCAGATGTAGGCAATAATAACAGAACTAAAAGGACATTCCAATTGTCAATGTTTGATTCAGTGAAGAAAAACTGATGGTGCATATTAGTATCATGTGAACTAAGTAAGAGCATGAAGTGCATAAACTCTAACAGTATCCTTTTTGTGTGCTTCAATTGCCACTCCATTTTGTGCATGAAAATGTTCCAACTGGTTTAATATTCTCCTAAAGGGAACATCTGATCGTTCAGCTACATAGGGGGAGAAGTTGTTAGCTAGTGTCGTAGCAGACTACAATAAGGCAGCTACTGACTGTATGATTCCAGTTTTTTGTTGTGAGAGAAAAGCCCACAAGTTATAAGCTTTAGCTGTCATTATGTCTTTTTCCTTTTAATTTAAGCATACAGAGATGTATTAATCTTCTAATTTATAATTTATTCAATATGCAGAGGAGACGTCTGGAATTGAAATAGTACCTGTATTTATCTCAGTTGATCCTGAAAGAGATACAGTTGAGCAAGTAGGCGAATATGTTAAAGGTGTGTTTCAGATTGAACTGATTATATATTGTGCATTAATTAGATATACTTGTAATGTTGCAACTGACAATTTTGCACTCAATGTTTAGAGTTCCACCCAAACTTGATTGGCCTCACTGCTAGCCCAGAAGAAATAAAGAAAACAGCACGTGCCTATCGGGTTTACTATATGAAGACAGAAGAAGAAGGCTCAGACTACCTTGTTGATCACTCAATAGTCATGTATGTTTTACTTGATCCTTCTTATTCTAGTATGATTGCACATGTCAGTTTTGATTGCCTTGCAAGTTCAATATCTACAACCTGTATCAACACGGGAACACCTCTAATATTTCTGCAAAGTGGTCGTTCCTTGCAGGATTAATGATATCCTGCATACATAGTCTTTTAAATTTCGAACACCTTTAATGATATATAATATGGTGCTTTAGATGACGTCATTCACATATTTATGGATCATTCAAATTTATACATGTATACCGGTAATACCATAAACAGTAAGCATAAGAAAATAACTTTATTACAGTGGTAAGAATTTTCATTATCTTTTATCCTCCATGTACCTTCCATCTGGAAAGCACTACTTATAGTGGTTGTAGCCCTTCAGTTTCCATTTGATCACTTCAAAAGTATGCCTGCTTTAGGACCTATGTGTGTGATCAAAGTCTTGTAGAGTTGGATATTTCCTGATGGAGACCACTAAATAAAGAAGTAACCTATATGTAGATTGGAGTGGAAATATAGTTGAAGTTGGAAGTGGCAGCTAGCGAGTGAGCTCAAAGAGGTGTTAGCTTTGACATACCCTTTGAGAAATCCACTCACCCCTAGGAAGTAAGAGGTGTTTTCACTAAATTACACTTAATTAAATAGTACCTATTTAATATGGTTTCTTGAGTATGTAAAAACTCATTTATCTTAATAAGGGTAGATTTGGTAAAAACAATTAATATCTTCTTGATTATGTAAAAAATCATTTTTGGACTAAATGTAAGATATAAAAACACCATGTAATATGGACTGGAGGGAGTAGTTTGTATTTCTGTTTACTGGCAGATAACTGTCTCCTTAGCCCGCTGAGATGATACATTGATGGACAAATCACCGTTTGACCATGACTACGATTTTGAATATTTGAAGATAATTTCATGTAGGTATTTGTTTATCAATTTGGTTCTTTGTTTGAAAAGTAGAGTTGTAGGAGCACTTCAATTTTTTTCTCACGGAACTTTTAACTTTTTATCCATGTCCAAACACCAGCAAATCCAAATACTGTTTCACCTTAGACTTCAATTACTCATTTCTTCAAATTTCAACCAAATCATGTCAAAATGCTTGAGGCTTTTAGCATATCAAAGGTTTTTTGCAAAATATTATTATGATCCATCTTGTAACTTGATGTGAAGTTCCAGCCTAAAGTTATTCTTTGAGATATTTTATGTCTTCTAAAAGTTGAAATCTTATGACATCTCTTCAAAGGATCTATATTGTTATCAAAAGGCTTGGATTGTCAATGGCTCTGATTTCAAAAGAGAGTATGTGGATGTTACTATAGCATGGAAATTTGATGAGGTTGATGATACAATTTGCAGGTATCTTATGGATCCTAAGATGGAATTTGTGAAGTTTTTTGGGAAGAACAATGACGTTGACATGCTTACTGATGGAATAATTAAGGAGATAAAGCAATACAAGAAAGTCAAGGCATAATACTCTTGGCTCTTCCGAGATGCCTTCTTCACTGGCCAAATTGTCTAGCTGTTGCTAGAGCATTGAGCATTGCATTCGGTGGAAATTTTGTGTACACAGTAAAGAAATTTTGAGTACTTTAGGTCTTATACGATATCTGAGAAAAAAAGTTGATATCCAGCTTTCATTTATTTGAAGAAAACTGTTGCAGTTTGATAGACCATAATCCTAAATTAGGAATATACTTTGCTCTCTAAGGTATTTGTTAGTCTACTGGCATTACCCTCGGCAACTAAGTACACATTGTTGTCTTCAATAATATGAGATTTATATTATACAATGCATTTTGCAGTTCCCCAGTAGTTTCAGAATGTTGTCAATTTCTGGTTGATCTAATGAACTCCGTGTTATTCGCTTGTGGCCGAACTGCTAATGTTCATGATGATTTGGTCAATTTGTTATCCCTAATGCAAGGATACAGTGAGCAGAGGGACTTCTGAAAATTTTAGGTCCACTTTTTTTGTGAGCCAAAAAGAAGCCTCACATGAATAGTGTCAGTTGTGTAAGATACATAATCAAGTATTTTGAGAATTCCCTATGGTTACGTATTACACTGTTTCTTCGAAAGAATAAGTTGTATCCTGGTTTACTTTATTTTGCTTCATGATATGTCTCATCAACTCCTAGATTTTTCATCCACATATCTGGAAATCAGAAGGATGGATATGCAAGAAAACAAATGCAAATTGAGACCAAAGATGTCAAAATTAATCACAAAGATTCAAAATGTCATGGTATTAACAGCTATCACAAACTGGACATAACTCATACATAGAGAGACTCAATTGCCACTTCACATTATATTTGTTATTCTATTAACAATTATCTTCCTCTTCCTTCTTTACATGAATAATAGGTCCTTCAACACAATACTTCCCTTTTCCATTTCTGCTTCCCAATTCTAAGTCCATCCATGTCAATTCAGTGTTTTCAGACACCAGATTAGGCCCTTTTCCAACTATCCACTCATCCATGGGGTCAACAACATTATCTGTATCGTCATTGCTTCCATCTGGATCGAAAGCTTGTAATTGCAAATTACAATGGACGAATACCAAGTCCTGCAGCCTCTGCTTCTCTATCGGGTTCATCCCTTCTGTAAGTAATGTCTCGACCAAGCTTCTTTTCAGCCTATAATGTGAAGCACCATTGCATGTCTGACTAAGTATTCGAACAGCAAGCCTTTGCAGTTCAGGACACTGACCTCCATATTGTGACCACCAAAGTGCTGCAACCAAAACTTACAGGTTAACATATGAATTATATGTCAAGATGAAAATAGCAGAAAATGTATAAATCATACCACCTGGGGAAGTATTTGATAGTTTATCTTTGAAACTTCCAAGATGAAATGTGCCCCTCCCAACGCGATACTCATCAATTTGCTGTGTGATCAAATGCTGTATATGGCGATCTTCTATCATGCGAACAACACAACAACAAAGACCACAAGAAACTTCCACATCAGTGTAGAAATTGCTCGAGTAAAAAAGGGTTGGGTTCAAAAAGTAACCCGCAGCATGTAGATGACTGTGGAGGTATTCGTCCCATATGTCATCTATGGCTTTCCAGAATCTTGCATAATGGGATCTTTTGTGTTTGAATTCCTTTTTGATGGTCTCTTTAGCTTGATCAAGTGTATCATATATAAAACCAACTTGTGGCTTATTAGTACAGTCTAGCAATTTTAAAACTTCTACCAGGGGAATGGTTGCCTTCACAGCCATCAAAGCCTCGGTCCAGAAGGATTGATCCTCAACCATATCTGACATTCTTTTACCCTCATCCGTAGAAGCCAAGATTGAGCTATGCCAATCAGAAGATTGAAACATCCTAATTAAGCATTCCTTCTGTGATACAATGTTCTCCAGAGTCAAAAAGGGCACAATGAACCTTATTTTTGAAGACTTTACGAGCTCATCAGGACAAGCATCTCTTAGAAGCTTCAGGACAGTAGCATGGCTGTAAATAAATTGTGTGAGTGTTTTGGCCTTCTCCAAAACTTCATGTATTGGGTCTATCTTTGTGAACTTCTGTAACATAAGTTCCATGCAATGATAAGCATCTACTGCCCAAAAAACTGTCTTATGTTTTTCTATTAGTTTCTTGCCTGCTTCCATCATGCAAGCAGATGTCGAGTATGCAACAATTTGGACCACAGTTTCAACTCCAATATCCTCCAGAACTTCCTCAAAGAATAATAGCATGGCATCAACATTGTCATTGAAAGATGAAATATCTGATGACCGAAGATAAATGGTACCCCTCGGGCAGTACACTAGGATATTAATCAGATTTCGACTGTTTAAATCTATCCATCCATCTAGCAAGATACTACACCCTGTGCTTGCCCATGAATTTCTGATTTCTGTTACATACTGTTGCATCTCTTTCACTGCATCCTGAAGGATCCAACCTTTCAACTCATCACAACTAGGAAATTTTATTGTCTCCCCAGGACTAAGGGTGGCTTTTACCATCCTTTGGAAGCTAGGTGATCTGATAGCATCAAAGTCGATTCCTGCTTCATAAAAAAATCTCCCTATAGATTTCGAAATCTCTTGTGAGAATGAATCTACAACACAACTACCAGCTACTTTTGAATTCACTCCGTTGTGCTTTTTATTTGCACTTTCAGAACTCTGAGTGATATCTGTCTTATTTGGTTCACCATCACCATCTCGGGGGCACCAGTTCCTTTTCAAAAGAAGATTTGTGTGGTTTAGTTGCTCATCTTCCTTGCTTAAATTGCCATTTTTCTTCTCAAGTACCTCAGCTTTCAGTGCTTCTTTTACAAGTGTAGGAGCGTTCAAGCAAGGAATTACATTTCCACGAATGCCTCCTAAGTGGTATTTAAGCCGGGTAAACCCTGAAACAACTTTACTACAATAGTTGCACTTGATTTTCTTCTTCTTTTGATCTAATTCAACACCATGTTGTCGAACATCAATTTTATCTTGAGCCATTTCCCCCATTTATGTTGACTCTTCTTCAACTGCAAAACATTCCTTCATTTCAGTTAAAACAGTGACTAACAAAACCAGAGTCTCTTTCAAGTGAATAGCAAACTCCCCTGATTCCTATTTATCAGTCCTGATCCTAATGAAGCATGAAATCAATCATCATTAAGAACACAAAGAAAAAAAAAAAACTGTCAAATGGGCTATGGTTTCTTTTTAAGAAACAAGAAATCCTCGAGGGTCAGTTCGAAACTCATGGATAATGGGTACAATACATATCTAGCAGTAAATCCTCTCACATAAGTGTGTATTCGCGCATAAAGTAAATACATAAACAAACAAGAGTAACTACGCACAAGTTTAACATATTTGATGTGAGCAATACACACTTAAAAGTGTGGCCTAGCGATTCATGAAGTGGATGAAAATCATGAGAGATCATAGTTCAAATCAGAGTAAAACAAGCTAGGCGGACACCATTGTTATAAGAAATAGGAAAAATATGAGCATTATTATGCAATTTGGAAGCTTATAACTATGAAAATGTCCTTGCTTTTCTTATAGGCTTATAACTTGGCCCAATTTATTCAACCACCCTTGCTAGCAATAACAATTTTTTCCATCTTAACAAGTTCTAATATAACACAAAGTTCTATTCTTATTACTCCTTCCGAGCCAACATGTTTGTCTAGTTTTGACTTGATACGACATTTAAGAAAGTAAAAAAAACTTTTGATTCTTGTGATCTTAAACTAAAAATATGTGGAACGTGCCAAAATTTCCTTTAATCTTGTGTTCTTAAACATGTTAGATGGAAAGTTAGTATCATAGGGTTGTCAAAAAGGAAAGAGACATTCTTTATTAAACGAACTAAAAAGGAAAGCCTTTTACTTTTTTGTTTTGATAATCGTGGTGTCCGGTTAGTTTTGCACAGAGCTAGATTCATTTCATGGAGCACTGCTACCTCCCATCTGCATAGATACCAACTAATATTATGCACTTGAATAGATTACCTAATATTTTTGCATCCAATGGGAACACACTCTCAAACCACATAAACAAATTGTCTTGTTCCTCTTATTACTGCAACTTAAAACTCATTCTTGACGAAAATATAACGAAATAAAAAGGGGGGATTTTGATATTCAATAGTTGTGAAAACAAAGAAGTGTATTCTGCTAGTGAAAATCTACAAAGAGCAAGTGAAAAAAGCTAAAAAGGCCCCTCCATTTCTACAGTCTAAAATGAAAGCAGATAAAAGAGCAGAGTAGTTCATGAACTAAAGAAAACAGAATCCACAAGCAAATAATGACATAAAATTCAACAAGATGAAGGAAAAAGGGTTATACCAGTTATATGAAGAGTGCAGCATTAGTAGAGTCATTTTTGTTGATTTCTAAGGAAAGAAAGCCAATAAGTATGAGTAAAAAACGGGGTTCTGGGAATAGTACTCATAGTAGTACATACTCTGCTCTGCTCTGACTCTGAAAAAGGGGCTGTGCTCCTTTCTTTCTACTGCCAAGTGTTGCTCCACTTTCATATGGGTACAGTTTTGTCTTTTCTATTTCACTGGAAAATGTATTGGCATTTTCTCATTGGTGTTACTGAAGAGGAAAGGTTAGTCCACAAAAAATAAACATTTTTTCCTCCCATATTTTAGGAAACTCATAATTCTTATTAGTTTAGAAGAACTTTGTCCTAATAAATTTGAGAAAGGATAATATTATTCTTTTTAAGTTTGGAAACATATTTTACTTATAGGTTTGAGACTACTGAGGAAAGCATTATACAGAATACACAATATAGTCCAAAGGCCATGAAAGCATTGTAAACTTGTTCTCTTTTTTTCACAGGAAAACTCTCTACTTTTGCTGGGAGGAATAGGCCTAACCGAACCTCATTAAACCTTGTGTTATATTCTTCTTCTCTATTTTCTTTGTTTGTGATTGTGTGCTAGTAAATCCAGGATATTTCCGCGACACACCCAAATAAGATTTAAGTAAAGATACCTTTGAAGTTTGTATATCTTCGCTAAAAATATGATGCATATATACTGTCATTTTTTTAACAAGAATATATCCGTTCTAAATCGCAATGTTGGGGCTTTACACTTTCCCCATTAAAGATTGAAAGCTAAGACTAACGGCTTAGAGGTAGTTTGGTTACCGGTATGAGATACCAAGGATATCTCATGGGTGCTTATTGGTTACTTCGGTCCGTGTATTATTGATTTGATTTCGATTTTCAGTTTGTAAACATGTTAAACTGATAATCAAACCAATAGATATTTATTAATGATTTTCGGTTAGTGATCCTTAACTGTTCAATTTTTGGTTTGACTGATAAGAAAATGTTTTTCTAATTTTAATATCGAAATTCGGACCCCTTTTGGTTAAAAAACACTCTTTCCATTAGTCTAAAATTTTAGTTCTAAAGTTCAAATTGTGTGTAGGCAAAACACTCTCACTGTTCTGTTTATTCAAACTTTCAATAAAGGTAACATTTCCATGAAAACTATGTTGACATTCAATTGAAAATATTTTCTATTTTAAGTGCAGAATAATTGTTGATTACTGCACTCAACTTTTTAATGTACAAAGAGAAACAAATTAATTTCAAGTTGAAAATATCTTCAAGCTCTAAAGCTAATATTTCGTTTGAATTTTCATTTGAGCAGAAAACTCAAATACAAAAAAGAGAGCAGAGAATAAGAACTTTAGGCTTGATGTCTTGTTCACAAATTACTTTGTTCATGTCACTACTTTAGAAAGACTCATTACCAATACACATTTGCTACTCTATATATACATTTATCTTCCTCTTTCCTCTTCCTCCTCCGCTTCCTCCTTTACATAAATAACAGCTCTTTCAACACAAGCTTTTTCCTTTCCGTTTCTGCTTGCCAGTTCCAAGTCCATCCATGTAAGTTGAGTGTTTTCAGGCACCAAATTTGGCTCTTTTCCGACTATCCACTCATCCATAGGGTCAACATAGTCTGTATTGTCATTGCTTCCATCTGGATCAAAAGCTTGTAATTGCAAATTACAGTGGACAAATACCAAGTCCTGCAGCCTCTGCTTCTCTATCGGATTCATACCTTCTGTATGTAATGTCTCGACCAAGCTCCTTTTCAGCCTATAATGTGAAGCACCATTGCATGTCTGACTAAGGATCCGAACAGCAAGCCTTTGAAGTTCGGGAAACTGAACTCCATATTGTGACCACCAAAGTGCTGCAAACACAACTTACAGGTTAACATATGAATTATATGTCAAGATGAAAATAACAGAAAATGTATAAATCATACCACCTGGGGAAATATTTGATAGTTTATCTTTGAAACTTCCAAAATGAAACGTGCCCCTCCCCATGCGATACTCATCAATTTGCAGTGTGATCAAATCCTGTATATGACGATCTTCTGCCATGCGAACAACACAACAACAAAGACCACAGGAAACTTCCACATCAGTGTAGAAATCGCTCGAGTAAAAAAGGGTTGGGTTCAAAAAGTAACCCGCAGCATGAAGATGACTGTGGAGGTATTCGTCCCATATGTCATCAATGGCTATCCAGAATTTTGCATAAAGGGATTTCTTGTCTTGGAACTCCTTTTTGATGGTCTCTTTAGCTTGATCTAGTGTGTCATATATAAAACCAACTTGTGGCTTATTAGTACCATCGAGTAACTTCATAACTTCCACCAGGGGAATGGTTGCTTTTACTGCCATCAAAGCCTCACTCCAAAATGATTCATCTTTAACCATATTTGATATTCGTTTACCCTCATTCGTAGAAGCCATGATTGAGGTACGCCAATCAGAAGACTGAAACATCCTAATTAAGCAGTCTTTCTGTGAGACAATGTTTTCCAGAGTCAAAAAGGGCACAATTGACCTAATCTTTGAAGACTTCACAAGCTCATCAGGACAAGCATCTCTTAGAAGTTTCAGGGCAGTAGCATGGCTGTAAATAAATTGTGTGAGTGTCTTTGCCTTCTCCAAAGCTTCTTGTATCGGGTCTATCTTCGTGAAATTCTGTAACATAAGTTCCATGCAATGAGAAGCATCTACTGTCCAAAAAACTGTCTTACATTTTTCCATTAGCTTCTTGCCTACTTCCATCATGCAGGCAGACGTTGAGTATGCAACTATTTGGACCACAGTTTCAACTCCAACTTCCTCCAGAACTTCCTCAAAGAATAATAGCATGGCATCAACATTCCCATTGAAAGATGAAATATCTGATGATCGAAGATAAATGGTACCCCTTGGGCAGTACACTAGGATATTAATCAGATTTCGACCGTTTGAATCTATCCATCCATCTAGCAAGATGCTGCATCCGGTGCTTGCCCATGAATTTCTAATTTCCATTACATACTGTTGCATCTCTTTCACTGCATCCTGAAGGATCCACCCTCTCAACTCCTGACAACTGGGGAATTTTACTGTCTTCCCAGGACTAAGGGTGGCTTTTACCATCCTTTGGAAGCTAGGTAACCTGATAGCATCTAAGTCGATTCCTGCTTCATAAAAAAATCTCCCTATAGATTTTGAAATCTCTTGTGAGGATGAATCTACAACAGAAGTACCAGCTACTTTTGAATTCACACCATTATGTTTTTTATTTACACTTTCAGAAGTCTTATTTGGTTCACCATCTCGAGGGCACCAATTCCTCTTCAAAGGAAGGTTTGGGTGCTGAAGTTGCCCAACTTCCTTGATTAAATTTCCATTTTTCTTATTAAGTATCTCAGCTTCAAGTGCTTCTTTCACAAGTATAGGAGTTTCCAAGCAAGGAGTTACATCTCCACGAATGCCTCCCAAGTGTTGTTTAAGCCGACTAAAACCAGAAACAACTTTACCACAATAGTTGCACTTAACTTTTAACTTCTTCTGATCAACTGGCACACCATGCTGATGAATATCAATTTTATCTCTAGTCATTTCCCACTTTTATATTGCGTGATCTTCAACTGCAAAACTACAATCCATGAGATGTTAAGACCTCTT